CACATTTTACACTGTAACCCAGGACATGTGTCTTCAGACAGCTGTGACTTTTTACCAAGAGTTTCTGAAAGCCTGGTCGTTGATATTTACAAGTGGGAAGGGTGAAGAGGGAGGTCTGGAGGGAGCTGGGCTGAGTTCATCTTGCCTTTCTCTTTCCAGAGCACAGAGCCGTGATGGAGGCGGCTTTTGTCTATGGGACTGTCCACCAGTTTGTTCTGACAACTGAGGCAACGCTGCTGAAAGAAGCTGGGTATGTCCAAACACACACCCACCAGGCAGAGCTGCTTCCCTGCTCTGTTTGCTCTGCTCTTGGTGTCTCAGATTCCCAGGTGAAATCTGGGATGGGGTTAGGATGTAATGCCAAGGGTGGACAGTCAGATCGGTTTTGCTTTTTCAAAACCAGCTGCTGTTTGTGTTCCTGGACTTGGGACTAGCCATGCCATCGGTGACTGTTCCTTGAATGGGATTTTATAGGAGAAGAGCTCACTGTCTCCTTTCCATAGCTGACTGATCAAACCTCAGCCGTGGGTTTTCAGCAGGGCTGATAATAGCTGATAGTCTTAAAACACTCGGCTTTGTGCTCTGATGATCAAGTGTGGCCAGCTGAGAAGGGTAAGAACTGCCACAGTGGGTCGGAGCAAAGCCCACCCAGCTCCATATCTTACCTCTGCAGTGGCCAGAGGTGATTCCCAAGGGGTATGGGGACAGGGATGTGTGTTACCTGCAGCCTCCTGTCTTCTGGCCGTCAGAGGTTTCAGGACTCTCAGAGGTGGGAGCTGTATCATGGTGTTAACAGCCACCAGAACTTCTTAAACACTTTTTTACTTTTCATCCCAGCAACTTCTGGCAGCAGTGAGTTCTGCAGTTCAGCTGCATGAGACCCTGCTCTTGTATTTGGGACTTCCCACCCGATGGCTCCTCTGGAGCCGGCCAGCTCAGGCCATGTCTTCCCCATGCAGGAGGAGCTGCATTAGGAGGGCAGGTCCTTCAACGTGACTTGCTGCTGATGTGACCTACTGCAGTCAGGAAAACGAGAGGGAGGAAGGTGGGACTGTCGCGTAGCATGTTGCATCTTCAGCAAAGCATTTCTGTGACGATTTGCCTGCTTTCACAGGTGACACCAGGGCAGGCACCAAAGTGGTCCTTCCCCAAGGTGCCCCGTCCCGTCCTTGCAGGATCATGGCCAGGGACAGCAGTTTGTGGCTGCCACTAGATGGCAAGGTTGTCATTTGGATAGAAATTGCCTTCATTCTGCTCAAAGCAGAGAGGACACCAGCAGCCCATCTCCTTAGCTGATGAAATGGTGGTAGCTTCACAGCAACATGAATAACTTCCAGCCAATTGTGGCAGCAGGCTTTGAGGTCTTGATGCTACACTCTGCTCTTCTGTAGAGAGGTCTTAAGACCCTTTACAAAGAAGGTTATCCCCATTTCAGAGGTGGGGAATGGGCATATAGGAAAAGGAAAGTGGCTTCCCAAAGTTAACCCACAGACCAACACCGGTGATGGTATCAGAGAAACAGGGAACCATCCAGGGAACTTGATCTCGCTCCTTCCTTTGCCACAGCCACAACCAATGCTGTTCAAAAAGTGCAATATTGCTTATACAATGTGTAAGATGTCATCAGTGAGGTAAAAGACATGAGCAAAGCTATAGACATCAGGTCTCTGCCTCCTGCCAGGGTCTCCACTGTAGTGGCATGGCTGGTCCCGCTGCGAAGAGCTGAATTTGTGTCCTTTTCAAGCTAAGCCAACTGTTCTGGGGTTGGGATCATTCACACCTGGCGAGCCAGGGTCCTCTGTAGATGTTCAGCACAATTCTGAAAGGCCCCTGGACACAATTGTACCTGTCAGTAGTAGGGCTCTTGAAGAGGTCCCACAAGCCTGCCAGACCCTGAACTTGAGGATCATCTGCCCTGTAAAACATGTTAGGAAACATCTATTGGGGCATTTGAAAACTCTGTGGTGGATACCTAGCTCAGCATGGTTTTGGTTTTCTCTCTCACAGCAATGATGAGCCCGACGTGTCGTCCGCCCGGCTGTTGTTCTGCCACTGCCAGCGGGCCACGGATCTGGCGCAGCCCTGCAGGAGGACAGCCATGGGGCAGGCTCTGACGTTGCTCAACATCCACAGGCACCTCAAGCTCATGGGGGCTCCTCTGGTGGTATGGCTGGGAAAGAGGAGCCACTTGGGCTGTGGGCTTGAGGGCAGCTGGGGTGGGTGTGAGGATGAGGGAGGTGTGAGCCGAGGGGAAGGCTGAGCGCGAGAATCTGCCCCTTCCCCACGAAGTTAATGGCAAAGCTCCCAGGTTGGGTCCAAGCAAGGAACAGGCAGGGGGTTGGACAGGAGCAACACTCCATTGCACTGCTCAGCTGGCTTAGCCCTTTCCAGGGAGCCCTGGCACCAAGGTATGCTCCTCTAGTTGTCCGTAAGCACCATGAGTGGGAATGGGGTGGAGGTGCCCCTTGGACTTCACTGGAACATATAGAATAGAATAGAAGGGAAGGGAATAGACTGTTTCAGTTGGAAGGGACCTGTGACGATCATCTAGTCCAACTGCCTGGACACTTCAGGGCTGACCAAAAGTTAAAGCATGTTGTTAAGGGCATTGTCCAAATGCCTCTGCAACACTCATAGGCTTGGGGCATCGACCACCCCTCTAGGAAGCCTGTTCCAGTGGTTGACCACCCTCTCGGTAAAGAAATGCTTCCTACTGTCCAGTGTAATCTTCCCCTGGCACAGCTTTGAACCGTTCCCACACGTCCTATCCCTGGATACCAAGGAGAAGAGATCAGCACCTCCCTCTCCACGTCCCCTTCTCAGGATGCTGTGGAGAGCAATGAGGCCACCTCTCAGCTTCCTTTTCTCCAAACTAGACAAACCCAAAGTCCTTAGCCGCTCCTCTAGGCTCCCCACAGGAGACTCAGCACCCTGGGGAGTTCGATATCTGTCATTCATGCCTTGGTGAGGGCAAGGGGCTCCCTCCTATCTCCTCTTCCCACGGGGCAGTGACCTTCGGCAGGCTTCCAGTTCCCACTGGTGACATCTCTGCCTAGCTGAAAAGATGGGTGGATGAGCTGGGAAGTGTCTCCTTCAGCCACATCTCCTGGGTTAGGCCCATGGAGGGAAGACACTTTGTTAAGCAGCTCCGTGCTCTCATGAAGCAGCATGTCCAAGGCAGGAAGGGAGAGGATGCCAGCTCTTGCATGTTGCAGCTGGGGTTTTCAAACTGCCCTGGGGGATGGATGGCAGGTAAATAAAAATGAATGGAGCTTTGACATCTGGAGTTGCTAAGTCACAAAGAACATGCATAATAAAGCCCAGTTTTTTAACAGGGAGGGTCATGACAGGTTGGAACAGTTTAGCCGGGGTTGTGTGTGGGTTCTGCTTCGATGGATGTGTTAGAAATAGGGTTGAAGGCTTTTTCTTGAGGGTCTCCTTATATCTGTGGCTGGGAAACATATGGTGGCTTGGGCTGTGCAGGAGAAGAGCTGAGGTACCTTCAATGGTGTGGAGATGTGCTGCAGTATAACCATGTCTCTTCTCCAGACGGAGGTTGCTGAGGACCCAGAGAAGGTTTCCACCGTTCACTTACAGCTTGGGCTACCACTTGTGTTCATCCTCAGCCAGAAAGAGACCTATGAGGCCGACAGGAGGACAGCAGAGTTTGTGGCCTGGCAGCTCTTGGGGAAAGCAGGAGTTGCCCTTTTGTCCAGGTACTTGTTCTCAGGTGTTTTGGCGTTCTCCTCGCTTTTTGTGGTGTTTCAGTGACCCTGCAGCTGGGGTGATAGCGGGCTTATTCACATTTGGATGAGAGGCAGTAAGACTAGGCTATGTCCTGTGAGAGGATGTCACGCTTAAGGACTTGTCCAGAATCAGATTAGTTTAGTTTCAGACTGGCTGGAAGTGTTGAAATGTTTGAGTCTCTTGCTGGCTTAGAAGTGACAGACTAAGAGAGATTTTGGAAAGGAAACTTAGCACAGATGGAAGGCTTGTGTTCTGCCCTCAAGGGCAGAAGGAGATCCAGTAGAAGAGGCAGACTGTGGGTGCTGGGCTGTGGTGGGGGCTTCTGCTCACTAAGTGATGCCTCCTCAGTCAACGTGGGCTCTCTGAGTTAGACCAGCACGCTTGTTCCCCAGGAGGGCAGGAGACATGCCTGTGCAGTGGAGATCTGGCTTCCTCTGCAGCTGGCCACCAGTTGCTTCTCTCTGCTCCACGGGCTCAGGAGCAGCCTGCGTACACCAGCCGGGCTCGTGTTTGCAAAGGCTTCCGTGGTGTCTTGCCGAAGGAGGTGTGCAGCCCCTGTCGGCGTGGTTGCACAGCTTTTGGAGGTGTCTGCTGGCCGCTGTGCGAATGGGAGGAAAGGGAGGAAGGATGGGTGTGGGCTCTCTTATTCCGCCACTTCTTTGCCACCATGGTGCCTCCCTGTATGAAGGCACTTTTTGGCTGCGTTTACTCATGAGCTGAAGTCCCACCAGCAGAGCAGCTGCACTGGGATGTGGCGACCAGCGCGTGAGCAAAGACCCGAATCACAGAAAGGGAATCCAAGCCCCTTGCGAAATAGGCACGTTACGCAGTGCGGCTCCACCAGGAGGTCACTCGGAGCCTGGTTTCTCCACCACTGACATTGATTCTGGGTTCCTGCAAGTTCTTGGGGGCCGTGAAGCACAACTCTGTGAGGATGTGGTGCTGCTGAGAGAGGTGGGCTTGGCAGCCAGGCGGGCTGAACAGAAGGGGTGACCTTGCACGTCGCACCATCTAAAGTTCACTTTGTATTTTGAAGGGACGTCGTCAATTTGAACGTTTTGCTCCGGTCGAACGTCGCTCTCAAGATACCAGATGAGGTTAGATGCTGGATTTCTTTATTGTACAGCTCTTATTTCCCTACTGGGCATGGTGCTCTTGAGTGGCTTTGGGGTGTTGCTTGGCTCCGTTGTTGTTTGACACCCTTCCCAGATGCTCAAGGGGAAGTGTCTCTCCCTAGGTACACGCATGTATTTGGAACTGCCTGAGTTTGGTACTGCAGAGCAGTTGTGCCTTCTGGGTAAAGATAAAATACTGAGTTTATTTTGGGTTCAAAACATAGGGTGATGTCTCCATTACACCTTAAAGCAACATGAGGTTGTGAACTGCCTAAGGTACTAGTCCAAGTGCAAATTCCCCAAAGATTTGGACTTCTAAAGGCCTTTACCCCCTTAGGAAAGGCATTCAAAAGATGGGAGAGGAAATGAGTGTGAAACTAAGAGCAAACGAAGAGCAAACAACCAAAGGTCTGTGCTGAGCTGATGTAACCGAATGCCTCTGGCAGTGATCTGGGAAAAAGGCAGGGCGTAAGTTAAATGAGGCTGATCAAGATGAGCTAAACTCTGGAGGGACCTGACCCAGCTTGTGAGGCAAGATGGAATTCGGTGCCGACAAATGCCAGGGAGCACACGATGCCCCAGATTACCTGAACTGTCACACTTGTGATTGCAAAGATACAGGATCAGACCTGAACCTGAGCATCCCCTGAGGGCTTCCCGTGGTGAGAGATGTGCGTGTTGTGTTTCTCCTCTTAGAGCCAACGGGAGGTGCCAGCAGTTTGTCATTTCCATCAGTTCATTATAAAATTCGTTTTCTCTGAAGTGCCTTTCGCTGAGACAGTGCCAGGACTGGTTTTAAGCTGACAGGGTCTCATTTCTGAGAAACACATTTTACTCTCTTCTTTCCGTGGGTTGGCAGCCCGCGTACACTTGGGAGCACTCTTCTTGGTCGAGCTCCATCAGATAAAGGATTTTTTGTGCCGGTTCCCCAGGCTGTGATGGGCTGCTCTGACCCAGCCCAACTCCTCTAGAGCTGAGTGGACCCTGTACCTCCTTCACTGTTTGGCCACTGGGCTTTTTCTTGCAGTGGTGGGATCTATGTTAAGATGCTGGGAGGTGGAGCGGGTTTTCACTTTCAGCGCTCCGGGCGCAGGATCCCACATAGCCACAAATGCTTCCTTGCAAGGAAACGTCAGTCTGGAGGGAGAGAAACTCACACACAGGTGAAACTGGGCCACGGAAACACACCCCGGATGCTCCCTTGTTTGGCAGCTTTAGGAATCTGTTGACATACCCCAAAACTGAGCTGGGTGATGGTGCTCCATCAGCCTTGAGTTTGGTTTGCAGACAGAATGGGCGCAGGGTGATGTTTTGCTCCCACTGATTTATTCTCTTCTCTTTAGGGAGTGCCAATCAAATACCTGGTCTTGGAAGACACTGATGAAGTTATAACCCTGGTGGAAGATAGGAGCAAGGTCGAACAAATCCAGGAGGAGGAGGAGGAGGAGGAAGACGAGGATGCAAAAGAGAATAACAATCAAGGTGTGCAGCTAAATAGTGAAGAGCTGATTGTCATCAGATGGCACATGCAATCAGCATCTGCTGGACACATGCAGGCATATGTTAAAGCGTTAGAAAGCTCTTTTGCAAATCCGAGGCAAACCCATCACGTCACATCACGGTTGTACAAAGTGTCTCTTTTATTTTCTGCGGATCACTGGAGTGTAGTGGCAGGCAGGATAATTTTTAGGGGAGACACCAGCGAGAAAAATCAGCAGCTGTTAGAGGTTGCAGAGGTGCTGCATGAGGGACAGGGGGGCTTCTGCTTGAATGCATCCAGCGTCAGGGGCACGAGGGCTTTTAAAGTCCACCTGACGCTGTCTCCTCTCCAAGCATCAGACGAAGAGCCTCAGAATTATCCGTCCCTTTGGAAAGGTTTGAGACGTGTTTTAGTAAGAGCTCTTCCAGACTCTCCTTCCCCAGGGTGAAAACACTGTCCCCTGCAATGCTTCCTTGAAAACGCATTTGTTTTCCATACCAAATTGGTTTTGTTTTCCAAAAAAAAGTGGCGCAGGATCCTAAAGGAGCCAACATGCTTAAAGAGTGACGTTCAACTCAGAGGGCACAACTGGTGTGAGACGGCATAAGTGCTTTTCAGGGAGTTTGTGTGTGTGTCTGTGTCTCCGCTGCCCCACACGAGGCAGTTACTTACCCCCCTGCTAACAGCCACCGTGTCTCTGCCGTGAGAGGTGCTGGCTTACCAAAACGTGCTGATGACCCCGTCGGTTCCCTCTGCCCTGTGTTCATGCACACCTGTGGGTCCCTTGCAGACGTTCAGGATGATCAGGTGGTGGAAGCAGTTTCTAGGGACAAGAAGCGAGCGCTGCCCCTGGAGCAGATCCTTCTGCTGACAGAGGAGACCTTCCGCTCTGCCCTCTTGGAGACTGCCCGGACAGTGGTGCTGTTTTATGCCAGCTGTGAGTATGAAATGTGGCCTGGCTGTTGCTTCCCTAAGCTTGTGCTGCTCGCCGTGCTTTCCATAATATGGTGATGCTGTAGACAAGTTTAGACGATAACTAAGTGCCACATCCTGCCCCACGGGCCTCCACCCACCGTTGGCAATCAGATTAGCTCGGTTCTTCTCGTGGACTGATGCTGTAGGAAGGCAGTATCTCTCAGTGTAGAAGTTATCCATGTTCATAGGGTTTTAACCTTTATTTTACAGGCACCGAATGTAGGACAAGGGGGGAAATAGTGGTAGCGTGAGCTCATGGGATAGCTTAGACACCTGGTTGCTCTCCACTGCACAGAAGCATAAATTCCAGTTTTCCTTATTTCTTTCAAGCCTTTGAAGCACCGAAGGGTGCAGAGAATTATAACATGACTTTGTCAGAGAGCAAGGTGGGGCTGGTTTGTCACCTGTATGTCCCTCAGGGCTGTGTCTCTCCTGTGTTTCAGGGGAGGCAGTGTCCCTGGCAGTGCTGCGGACTTACACCGAGGTGGCCGATCAGCTGAAAGGTAAGGTGCCACAGGTCTGAGTGCTTTACAGCTGGCATGCACCTGCCCTGGCAGTAGGAACCAGAAGACTGGGACGATGTTGATGGTACCTCACTCCCTCACCTGGAGTATACTTGTTTTTCCCCTCAAACTCTGAAGGAAGGCATATCCACGTCAGGTTGCTTAGCAAGAGTCCTTTGTTTCTTGTTTAGGGATCTTTGTGGTCCATTTGTGCCTCGATTCCCAGTCATGGAACTGGGAATGCAACCTTCTGCAGTCGCCTTATGTTGTTGGTGTTAACTTGGTACACACCAGCTGCCCAAACTGCCTTGCAGTGAGATGGTGATGGTGGTGGGCACAGTGACAGCGTGATGGATGGTGGTGATGGTGGTGGTGGTGGGCACAGTGACTGCATGTTGAATGATGATGGTGGTGGTGATGATGGTGGTGGTGGTGGGCACAGTGACTGCATGATGAATGATGATGGTGGTGGTGATGATGGTAATGGTGGTGGGCACAGTGACTGCATGATGAATGATGGTGATGGTGGTGGTGGTGATGCTGGTGGGCACAGTGACAGCGTCATGGATGATGGTGATGGTAGTGCTGGGCACAGTGACAGCGTCATGGATGGTGGTGATGATGCTGGTGGGCACAATGAGCAGGTGATGAATACCCAAGAGCATGGGGAGGGCCAGGGCAGAGCACCAGCAGCAGTGAGTGACACAGGGTGGGCTTTGGAGCAAGGACGAGCAAAGAGCAGGCACTGTAGCCTTCATCACAGAAATAGGGTCCTGTTTGTGCCCCTCCATGCTAGGTCCTGCACAGACCAAGGAGATGCACTGCATGCTGCACAGCAAATCAATATGCTGGGTGGCACGTCAAGTCTCCTGTCCTTGGAAGTACTTGATCTGGAAGGGAGCAGTTCATTGGCCCCGGCTTTGGTGGAAAGCGTGACAGGCAGGTGTGGGCAGGCCCAGATCCACAGGGCAGGATCGTGTCAGAGGAAGAATTTACAATGATGGTGCCTTGAGGGCCTGGAGACTGGCTTAATTACATGGGAAGTCTCGCAGGCAGCCACAGAACTCCATAAATAACACGTGATGGTGAAGAATCAGCAACACAAAGACAGCACACGTTGGGTAATCTGGTAGTAAAGGCAGGAGGGAGTGATCCTTCAAGGGGGTCTGAGCTGTTCCTGAGCAGCGTAAGCTCCAATTCATCTTTGTTCAGTCTTCAGCCCCATCCCTCTGTATGGTTAGTGGAGAGGGGTGGGTTCTTCTGCACATCCATCATTCTTACATGGGCTGAATCTCTTCCAGAGATGCCTCTTTCTCCCTCTGGCTGCAGGGGACACTCAAGTGGCTTCATCCCCAACTCATTGCAGCATAGTGGTGAAGTCATGCAGATCTGGACAAGATCTGTTCTGGCACACCTGGAGGTGGCTGGTGCCTTCTTTTCGTTCTTGTTCTTCATCAAGACTCATTTCTCCTAGCGAAGGAACTTCCCTGGGACTGGGCAGCGTGTCCTGCAGAGTTCAAGCAGGATTCAGGCTGAGCTCTCAGCAGCAGGGACACGTATAGAATCTGCAGGGGACCCAGCCAGCTTTCTGGGAAGCAGATGCAGTGGGAGTTGCTTACAAGAAACCCTCGTGGGAACACTGCAGACAGTGCTGTGGTTTGGATGAAAGCAGTTCTGCATGGAGAGTCATCAGCAGCTTTGATCTGGACTGAAATCCCAGGAATAAACAGGAAAGCTCAGGGAAGGTTGTTGTTGTTGTTAGAGATATTATGGTTGTTGATGGTTTGGGGTTTCTTTTAGACTCCCCAGCAGTCAGACCATCTGAAGGAGCAAGCTAGGAGGGTCATTGGATGAAACCCTGCCTCTTCGTGAGCCAGTGGCCAAACTTTGGCCACTTCTGCACGGCCAGGCTTTCACCATGTGTTTTTTGAATCATTTGATAACAATCTTGGTACATGGAAGCAGCCACAGGCAGATTTTCAACAGAGGTTGTGAACCGATTGGGGTCAGGACCTTTCCTCTGTGATCAGTGAGGTCCCACCAAAGAATCCCAGGCCAGATGTGACCTGTGGAATGGCTCCATTCTGCTTTCCTCACTGTGACCTGGGAGAGGATGGAGAATGTCTGTGTCAGTGAATCTGGAGACCCTTTATCTCTTCTGCTGAGGGAGCTTCAGTCACAAGCAGGCTACGAGGGGAGCTGGACGACCTAAAAGGATGGGGGTCCCTGGGCTCCCAGTTATGGCCATGATGAGGGAAGATACAGTAGTGTGAGGGACAGAAGTCTGGATCAAGAAGAAGATCTTGAGCTATGCAGGACTGAGAATAAAAGATGGGATATGGCTTTGGGGCAATCTTTCAGCTCCCCCAGAAGCTCCTGGTATTCCTGTTAGCTCTCTGGGGTGGAGCTTTCTTCCTTAGGGCTGAGCAGCCAAGACCAGCTGTTTGAGGCATGAATCACCCGCTCTAGAGGCACATTCTGAGTTGCAGAACCAGGTCTCACTTCTGATGCCAGTTCTTTGTGCAAAATGGCACTGAGAATAGTCCATATGAAATCAAGTGCAAGGGGACGGAGGAGGTTGGAGGCTGGAATGACCTTGTGAATCATCCAGTAACAGATGTTCAGCAGATCATCACGAAATTGAGTTTATAGCCCCCCAAGTGTTTTCCCTTTGTTGAGAGATCCAAGCTAGCAAGAGATAACGAGAAGCATCTCTGTCTTGCTGAACTGAGCACATTCTCTGCTCTTGCAGCAAGAGCGTGCCGTTCTCACAGCCGCTGGGACTAACGGCTGCAGCTCTTGGTTTTCCTTTGCAAGATGTCAGTTTATGGAAGCAGCACCCCTGGAACAGGAGAAGAGGATGTGAAGGTGAGACAGCGCTGAGCATTTCTTTGGTGTGTCATTGGCCGTTTTTGCAAAGAAGAGAGGAGACCAATATCTGAGAAGAGCAATATACTGCGACGAAAACCAGTTCTGCTTCCCTCTTCTGTGCTTGTGGAGTCGCCTTGACCAATGACTTCCAAAGTCAGGGGTCTGAAGTTGTAGCTCAAAGGCCTGAAAATCACCTGTGTGATTTAGCACTGTATATTCATGGGACCTAAATCTGAAGTAAGGATTTAGGAGTCCATTGTGTGATGCTGTCCTGGTAGTCATTTCCCATTCCGTGTTGGATTCCTTCTCTTGAAGTGCAGCACTTCATGCATAACTTACTTCTCTTTCATGTGGTAGCCCTTGGACCAGCTCTTCAAGAGAGCTGTTTCTAATGCCGGTCCTGCCCTCCGAAGGATTAGAAGTTTAAGGGAATCTTGATTTTTCTTGTTCCCTATAGCATTAATGATTTGTCTTGTCCTGGTTTTATAAGACCCCTAGGACAGAGGTTCTAGCTGCTGTTGCTTTTAGTAGGACCTAGTATCACAGAACAGTAGGATCTTGTGTTCTTCTTTCACCTTTCTTCCCATCCAGCAGCTCAACAGTGACCACAGGGCTGAACAGTCTCTTGCTGAGTTGCTCAACTCCTGAAACTGCTGCTCGTTCAGTGATTAATGATACGGTGCAGATGGGGATGGGAGAGTGATCATCCTGTACAAGGTGTTCCTCGGGCCCCATGGGCCATCTTTGGAGCACTTCTGGTACGTAATCCCCCAAGGTAGTATCCAAATACTAAAATTCATATTTGAGGGACCTTAGAGCAGCCTTGCAACTCCATTTAACGAGGCATCAAAGCCCTGTTTCCATGTCATTATTTTTCAGAGTTGGGCAAGACACAAGGTTATGTGGTAACAGATGATGAGAACCAGCTATACTGGATCAGAGGTGTGAAATAAATCCAGGGGCAGGCTTTTAATTTGAGATGTTATTTCAGAGGCCAGAGAATGACACAAACCATTTCTGCTCTTTGTGGAGTGTTTTGACAACTCCTGACTGTCTGAGTAGAATTGCAGACCCTTAGCTCCATGCTGCCACTTGCTTTTTCTGTACATGAGTTTGACGCAAGGCAGAACAGCAGCAAACTCCTCATGTGAGCCGCAAAGCCGAACCAAAAATGAGGATTGCAGAAAATGGTCCAGTGGGATGCCAAGGACATAGGGATAGGGGATAGGAACACATGCTAAGGTCACCTCTGCCTTCACCCTTGCCTGTGGAGATGCCTTGCCCATCCCTGACAGGCGGGTTTCTAACCTGTGATTAAAACCCTCCCACAGCTTCTCTGCCAAAAAGACTCGGCTGTGTTTGGTTCTCAGTAGCTTGTTTTACTATTTGGTCAAACCTCCCTACTGGGAATGGGTTGTTGCTTGTCCTTGCCCAGCTGGCAACAGAGAGTGATCTCACTGTCGCCTCCAGAGCAGACTTTACATGTTAGAGTTTATTATTTCTTTCTTCCAGGCCGTTTCCAACCAAAAGAAACACAGTTCCTTGGGTTTTTCCTCATGGCATGTCTTCCAAACTTCTCCAGATTCTTTTTCATCTGCTTAAGCCTTTCCAAAAACATGTTTCCCAGCCTGACTTGCTGGGCTCTGCAGAGGTCTCGCCGGGACAGAAGAGCATCATTTTCCTCCCGTATCTTGCAGACATTGTTGAGAGTTCGTCGCAGAATGGCTTTGCCCGTTTTCTGCAGCAGTGGTGATACCTGTGCATCCTCCTTCCCGTTACAGCGTGCTGCTGGTGTTACACTCTGCCCTTCAAATTGGTTTTTGCCCCTCTGGGCTTGGGATCATTTGCAGATTGGAGGTGTTTGTTTTATGCCATCAGCCGGGGCTTTAATGAAGATAGTGATCACAATCAAACCCAGGATAGACAGGGGAGAAAGTTTGGCTGTTTTGGTCTGCTCTCCTCTTGAGAAATCCTCATCACCTGCCCTGCCCCTGGTTTCTGAAGGACGCTTTGCGACGATCTGCCTCCATGTGTGTACTTGCCTCTAGGTTTCATCCCATCTTTCCCATATAACTCTTGAATCCTGTTCAAACCAATTTAGGGAAGGCATGGAGATTTCTGAGATAGGGCGTTCCTGCAGTGGGCATGGACGACACAGCCCTGCTGTCCTTGGTCAAACCTGCAAGTAGGTAGAAGGCAGCTTAGGCGAGGCTGGCAACCAAGGGGTGGTGGCTAGTGAAGCCGGTGATGGTTCACTTGCCAGCTGGTTAGCACAGGCTTAGCAGTTTGTGCCCAGCCTGCAGATGAAAGAAAGGCTGATAAGGACATGCTGGAGCTGCAGGCGTTGTCCCTTAAGCTCATGGAGAGCATGCAGGGAACCAGCCTTCAGTCGTTTCACTGCTCACCTTGAGCTTATCGCTTTGGTGAGACCCGTAAGAAGCTTTTTAGTACCGGGAACCAGAGTTGGACTGACTGCTCTGTAATTCCCAAAGTGCCTTTCCTTCTCCCTGACCTGTGAGACCCCAGGCTCTTTGTTAAGGTCCTAAAGGTGCCTGCTAGTGGCTTGGAGACGAGCAGCTTGCATAGGTAGGATGGGGTGAGTGCCATCGGACTGCCAGCTTCTATTGCATTTATCATGTTTATGGGACCTTTTACTGCTCCTTGTGTATTGCTTTAGGTAGAACAGACGCTTTTCAATACTGGGCACCTTCATAAATGAAAAAGCCTTGAATGCATCAGCCTCCTCCGTGCCGAGCTTTACCTTCCCTCTTTGCTGTAAGTGAGGCCCTGCATCAGGTTTTTTTAGGCGTTATTCCTAAGGTATTTCCAGTACCTTTCCTTACTGCCTTTTATGTTCCCGGACAGTTGCCTCAGGGTTTCATGGTGTTCCTTTGAGTAACCAGCCAGATGTGAATGTCTCTGGGAATTTCCTTCTGAGAAGTGCAACCTACGACTTCCCTGAGTTTATTCTCTGCGTAGTCTGTTGTTTGGATCAATCCATACCTGCGGATGTATTTAATGCATTCACAGGCTGGAAATAGCTGCTATTATGCTCAAAAATGTAAAGCATGAATGATTTTGGGAGGGAGATAGCCTGTAGTCAAAGGGATTGTGTATTCGGGGCTGGATTTTGACATCCTGCCCACACAAAGCAGCGATTGACTCCAGGAACGGTCCAGCAGCTTCTCAGCGATAGCCCAACTGGGCTCGCTCCATGTGCATGCTGTGTGTTAGGATCCAGCCCTGTGCGATGCGTGCCAAAGCAAATAGGAGTTCTGGCAGCGTTAATACAAATATATGTGATAATATCTAAAGAAAATCACCAAAAGCTCTCTTTTTCAACCATTTCTTTTTTTTTTTTTAATTTATTTTCATATTGTTTATACGTATTTGTTTTCACTTTAGGAACTCAGGGGGTTTTGCTGTCTCGGGTGAACTGCTGGGACTGGCCTGGCATTTGCACAAAGGAGAATGTCACTCAGTTTCCTACCATCAAGATTTACGAGAAGGGCGAGCGATCGCGGATGTACAATGGCATGTGGGGAGCTGAAGAACTGACCAGCTTCATCATGCTGTAAGTGTCTGTTAATGAGTCCCCACACAGTAAGGCTGGCACATCTGCTAGATGATGTTCTGAATGCTTCACGGCCTGTGTAATGGAAATTCTTTTTTGGAAAAACAATGTCAGATCTGATTGTAGACCTGGTTTGGAAATTAACTTAATAACTTTTTGTGCTTTTCAGTGTCAGGGAACATCTGTTCTTGGACAGTGCATCCGTCTGTTGCCACTGTCTGTCTCTCTGTGCTCGAGTTCCTTCTCTGTTATTTTTAATGGGGATCCCAAGGATCTCAGAGCAACCAGTTTGGCTCAGGGCTGTTCTCTCTTCCCCATAACCAGCTCCAGTGCTTTTATGTGACTAGGCATTGTCCTTCCTTCCTAGGCAACTGATTTTTGTCTCTAATGAGGCAGAACGGTTGTCATATTGGGTTGGGGCATTGTCAGATTGAGGTTGCCCTTTTGTCTCTTCATCCCAGAAGTGAAGAAGGCGGCAGCCCACGTTGTTTCTCTGCCTTTCTGTAGGAGCCGAGTTGCCTGCCCTCTGAAGCTGGCCACGATTGATGAAGCAGAAGGATATTTAAGAGGAGAGTTTCCATCTGAGCTGTCATCCTATCACCACACTTCGCTTCTAGGAGTATTTAGCACAGCCACGCGTGAAGGTTAGTGTGGTATTTGTGGGTGAAGCACTCAGCTTCGTTCCTGATAGGGGAGGGGTGATTCCAGAGGTTTGGAAGTTGCTCCGTGTTTCATTTTCTGTAAGCGTGTTTGCTCACATCACGGCCTGCCCGCCACCACCCTTTTCATTTTTGCAAGAAGAAGATAGCAGGTGATTCCAAGTGTGGGACCGAAGGCTCAGAGGACACTCAGCTACACACCCAGTGTGGCAGCATCTGAAAGCCCCACGAGAGACTGAGACACGGTGCTTGGTGCCTGGTGCAGCAGAGCCCCGGGTGACCTGTCTGCAAAGCCGTTTTTGCAGATATCCAATCTGAACGTACCAAGCCATGGTTTGTGCCTGTCGTCCCTGTTGTATTTTCTGCCCCTTACCGAGAGGATTTTGGCCCTATCCCCTTTCTGAGTCCCCTTCAAAGTGGTTTTAGGCTGCCATTAAATCCCTTCTTAGCCTCTGACTGAACAAGCCCAGATCCGTCCTCCTCTTGTAGTCCATTTACAACGTGTCACAGCATATTCTTTCCTAAAGAAAGCCCTTTTCCACTATTGGATTGATAGTTATCGTGCTGGCTCCTCCTCCTGCAAATGTGGTAGGCCCAGTCCTTGCAACCAACACCCAATTCAAAACCTTTTTTTTTTTAAAAAAAAAAAAAAAACAAAGCAAAGCAGCAATAAGGCGAAATACAAATTTCTTACATCAAAAGGAATGAAATGGGAATAACTCACTGAAATCCACTTGTGGACTGTGAAATAGATGGGCACAGCCCCCGGAGTGGTGGACATCAGCTAGAAAGGTTAAGCAAAGTTGCTGGAAGGAGTGTTCCAAACTTGTTTGAATTTGTCTCGCTTTGTAGTCTCGGTCAGTATAGTCCTGGCCAGTGGCTGCACCTTGGAAGAGTCACGCTCTCCCTCCCCTGCCTGCTGCAGAGGTTGCCGTTAGTCACTCAGATGCTGCTCCAGTAGCTTTCGTTGCGTGCTATAGCTGTGGTCCAGGATCCACTGGGTTTCCACAGCCTTTCTGAAAGATGCGAAAATTGACCCGAGAGCTACGGTGATTTTTCATGTGACAATCATACATGACAGCAAGGGAGAGGGAATGAAGTCAGTCTGGAAAGGGAGTATCGTGTCATGCTTCAGTCAAATCTGCAGTGGACCTTCCGACCCCACGGTCTCTCAGTTACCAGCTACCACTGGGACTTACTGCATTAAAGAAAAGAGACTTTTCTGATCTTTCTTAAGATGAAAATTTCAGACTACTTTTCATTTTGAACCTCCGTGGTGCCTGTAAACTTCGGTTAAATGCAAACCAAGCTACTTTCTCACACGAAATGGTCCAGAGGGAATCCACTGTGCTCAGAAGTGAGGAATAAAATGTCTGGAACCAACCAGAAAACACCTGGGCTGCGTTCATCAAGCCAGCTGGCAGCTAATACGCCTGCCTTCTTCTGGAGGGTCCGTTAAATATAGCAGAAAATCTTACTGATCTCCAAACCCCTTTAGTCCGTTTTCCCCTGGTTTTCATCAACTGAGCTGCAAAATCTTTCCTCTCTTCCACGTATTCCACTCTCTGCAGTAGTGGAGCCTGGATTAGCCCCGCGGTAGGACCTTGGATGACATGGGCATGGTGAGAGGGTTCGTGGAAGGAACCTGGCGGGATGTGTGAGCTCAGACTTTTTCCTATTTAGAAGTTTTGTTCATTTGCTTCCCTGCGAACAAGTCTTGGAGGTTTCCAGATGGCTCTGTGTGGAGCCTGCAAGGTTGCCTCTTCCCTTGGGGCACACTCAGCCTGCAATCTGGAATGGCATCTGCAGTCTGGGGTAACTCAGCTGCAGATGCCCAGGGAGACGAAATACATGATGCTTTCACAGGCTGTAGCCTGCGGGGGGTTCGAGAGTCGTGCAGAATGACCCAAGGGAGCAGAAGGCTGGAGCCAGCTGTTCTGGCACCAAACCCAGGCCAGAGCTGGGGAAACCACATTGCTGCTTTTATCAGCCCCGCAGACTTATCTGGAATTTCCAATGATTTTCTCACAGCAAGAATTCCTGCTCTAACCTGAACCAGCACCGCACCATGTCATTTCTAGTTAACTGAAACAGCGCAATGAGATGTCCAGTTAAATAAAGCCCTGGTTTTTTTCCAACCTTTAGCGTCACAACTATGTTAAGAAGCCCTTCAGTGGGTCTGAGCTAGAAGAGGCTTGTCAGAAAAATCATAACTAAAATTTATTACAAAGAGCTGAATGGTGTAGGGCAGTGAATGAGCATTTTCCTGGAAACTTGGAGAACTTATAGGAGAGAAATTATTTTGCTCTGCAGAAAATGGAAGCGTACTTGGAAGTAAGACTCTGAACTGTGCAGTAAATGTTTAAAAATACGCCTTTGTTCTGCAAAGCTCTGGTACCACAGTAGGGCTTGCCAGCATCCATGTAAACCAAGTGAAGAAAGCATGCAAAGATGCTCCAGGTGCTGCTGGAGAGGATGATTTCATGAAGTGCCTTCTGCTAGAGGGATAAGGGGTGATGCTCAGATCCTGCCTCCAAAAACTCCGCAGGAGCTGTAGACACTTCCTCATCTGGCAGTTTTATTCCCTCTTGTTCCCAGATCCTGGAGTGAAGCTGGGCTTGTGCAATTCACAGCAGCTGTCCTGGGAGGCAGCTGGGATTCCGGCCCGAGGCATGTGCTGCAGCACATGATCAGGCTCTGCAGGGAATTAAGACAGTGGTCTCAGGGGGACTAGTTTTCTAGGAAATATTTAAATAACTTCTTTAGAATTATAGAATCATTGTGGTTGGAAAAGACCTTTA